ATTCTGGGAGTTGACGTCCACCCAACTTAAAGTTGCTGAGATGGAGAAACACTGCTCTACTTTATAGTGGCTCTGCTGTTAAAATCTTGAGGATAATATAATGCATTTTGCTTATTGGGAGGTGGTGCAGAATAACTATGGACACACACAGCCCAACACATGGGAAATAGAAACAATTTTTATTTATTTTTTAATTTATTATTAAATTTATATGCCGCCTATCTTCCCCTTTGATGGAAGAATGGATTTCTCGTGCCGTTTAGCCTTCCATATGTTAACTTCAAACACCTACTCTTGTACTGTTTGTCACCAAGTAGATAATGTGTACTTTACATGAAGGTGGTTTTGTTTTTTTGCTTTATTTCCTTGATAAGTTTAATTTGAAAGTTCAACGCGGGCACCCCGGCCGTTCACGGCAGTCATTATTCTCAAGGAAGGAAGGAAGGAAGGAGGGTGAGAAAACCTTTATCAGCATCGTTTCTGATAGAAGCAGTAGAGAAGCAAGCCATAAAAGTTTAGCCGAAGGCGGTGAGTTATGCATTAAGGAGTGAAAAAAACTCCATTGCTCGTTTTCTGATAATAGAACACAAATATTTGGGCCCGTGTGACGGTATTTTGGAAGGTGTGGGATATCCAAATCAAAGGAAAACATGAAAATGTACTTGTGGTGGTGGTGTATTATAAAAACCCAAACATAAGGGATCGCTGGCCAGATCAGCATAGGAACTGATGGATCCAGCAAGAACATTCCGCTTAGGGACCCCTTTGGAAATTCAAAAACTCCAGAAAAACCCACCATGATATGCCTAGAAAATGAGTGTGTCACGATGAACAATGTGCTAGTGTTCTACGCTTGTAACAGCATCACTGTCATTAGGCCAGATAGCATTTTGTTCCTGGCCCCAAAGCTACACGGTCAGTTGAGTTCTGCCACTGGATCCCGCTGTAAAAGGGGCCCTTGCCTCTTTGCACGGCGCATTAAGCATCAGCTCTTGTCTTGTTGTCTCAGGCAGCTGTTTGAGGGCACTTGAAAGCCTTTGAAGGCCAATGAAGTTTGTGGAGCTAAAGATCCTTGAGAACAGAAAGAGGGCGGGGTGGGGGTGGGGGTTGGTCTGGTCTAGCAAAGGCTGGACTGGGCTGGGGAATTGGTCTTTCTGGGCAAAGGACTATCTGTGGAGGAGTGTTTTGTCGGTGGTTATCTGGCTGAGAAGATGTTTTGGCTGGCATGCTCTGTTGTTGTTTTCAGGCAGACTGAGAAGCTGATAGCCAGGGATAACCCATTATTTGCAGGTCGGAGCGACTCTGGGGAAGTTTGTGGCTTGTTGCAACATCAGTCCAGGGTTGGCCAGACGTGATTTTGTAACAAGGAAGGTGGGAAATTGTGACGGGCAATGCTGGGTTGAGTTTGGGAAGGGAGCTTCCCAAACTCCCAAATCTCCCTTCCATGATCTTCGGCATCAAGAGAATCACAAGCTGTTCCTGCAACATGGTTGGTTCAATTCGTTGTTCTCTTCATTCATGAACTCACACCAGAAGTACACCCTCTCTGATGACTTAGCCACACAGACCAAAGATATTTCAAACTTCTTCCCATTCCCCCAATGCCAGAGAAGGACAAAAAAATCCACAGTGGTCCAGTTTGGACAATCCCACCAACCTCCATCTTCTCTGTCTCCTTTTCAGTCCCCCTCCCATGTAGCCATGGGGAAAAAAATTAAGATGGTGACAGAGGTAGACTGCTGAAGAGCATTTTGTCTCCTTCTCCAAAAAAGGGTAAGGACTTCTTCAGGTTAGACTCCACTCCTGATGACTTCAAGGATGTGTCCATGTAGCTTTCTCAGCAACAGTTACAGAAGTAGTTAGTCATTGTTTTCTTCTGGAATCTTCTTTGTTTTACTTCCCAGTCTGGCCTGGTGGTTTCCCATCCAAAGAGTAACCAGACTTGAGTCTGCTTTACTTTTAACCCCCAGGAAAACCCAGTCTCCAGGTCCCCTCAACAACTTGCTGACAAATTGAAATTTGTAATATGGTGAGTGCAGAGGCTCCCCTTCCTTCCTTCCTTCCTTCCTTCCTTCCTTCCTTCCTTCCTTCCTTCCTTCCTTCCTTCCTTCCTTCCTTCCT